TTTTTTTCCCCTTTTCCTTAGCTGTGTTACTCCCTTTTATTCTATTGGCTTTTGAAAGCCAATACAATAGACTCTCTTGAATAGAGTCTAATTCTATTGGCTTTCAAAGGCCAATAGGAATTGTCCAGGCTGTCTCTATCCTGCTGAGCCTGCCAAAAGTCCCATTCTGCAAACGGTGCTCACCAGTTGAGTAGTCCTCGACTTACCACCAGTTGAGTAGTCCTCGACTTACGACCGTTTGGGGGTTGCGGCATTAAAAAGGTTGAGAACCACTGCTTCTAATCCTTCTATAGCCTTCCTGGCTTCTTAGGGCTCCTGATTTTTCTGATGAGGAATGTCTTCATGATGTGTTCTTCTGGGACTTAATCACAGTATGGAAAGCCAGAAAAAGACACAGAATACTCACACACTTAGCTACCTCATAATGAAGACCAGTGCAAGAACCAAAACTTAACACCTGGAAGCTTTCTACCAAAAGGAACAAGATGTTCTTGTTCAAGATAATTTTTAATAGAGCAGAGCAGAGCAGAACAGAACAGAACAGAACAGAACAGAACAGAATAGAATAGAATAGAATAGAATAACAGAGTTGGAAGGAAAGATGGTTCTTTCACAGATCATCTCATCCTATGTTTGGATAGATACACCACATAATGTCTGACAGTCTATTAGAAACAATAATATTGGTTGTTTAGCTGGCACATCAAAAATTGTGTCCATTGTACCATCCCAGATGTTGAAAAGTTGACTGGGACAATATGAACATTGGTTATATGTAAGCTATTAGCAATAGCAATAGCACTTAGACTTATATACCGCTTCATAGTGCTTTATAGCCCTCTCTGAGTGATTTACAAATGTCAGCATATTGTCCCCAACAAACTGGATTCTCATTTTACCAACCTCAGTGTCAGGCCCTGCGAGGCTGCCGGTTTGGCGATCCACCACCGGTGCTCTAGTACGATCCATATCTCATGACCTTTCTTCTCCTGGTCATCTCTGGACTCCTGGGGCCGCTGCTGACTCTTCATAATGATCTATTGCTAGCGGCGATACTCTGAGAGGCTGAGGGTGGGCCCGACATCTCAACGAGGACTTCCAGGTTGATCTGCGCATATGCAGAGCCAGCATTGAATGGACATGCGCACAGACAACTGGGAGGTCCACCTGGTAGAGCCACGCATGCGCGGAGAAGGCTGAGAGACAAGCCGGATACACGAGCATGCGCAGAAGCAACAATGAGGCATACGGACAATGCTGCACATGCGCAGAGCCAGCTAATCAACGCGTGGATCGTACGGCACCTAAAGTGATTCAGAGAACCGGATGGTGGTTACTCGGGGTAATTGGGTGGGGCCAGGCAACGTAGGGTGTGGGGATGAGGGTGTGGTGTTGGGTGTGGTGGCTACTATTACCATAAAAAGGTACTGAGGACAGATGCTTCCCAGTGCCAACTTTATGCTTGTTTAATATTGCTATTAAAACATTGTTCTTCATGCCTGGCGGTGGTCTGTTTTGTTCCAAATGCATTCCCGATCCAGGACGTCATTAACAGTAAGTTGGCACTAATCTCAAGTTGTCCAGCACTTTCCTTCGGATTTCCAAGTCATTGCAAGTATTTTTCAAATGAGCCTTCCACGTAGGACTCAAAATTTATCTCGTCTTTCCTCATGAAGGAAATGCAAGCATTTCTGACTGCCGTGTGATGAATCTGACAGGCATAAACCTGCTCGGAAATGACCCGGAAGAGGCAAGTGGCATCTTTGGCTGTGAGCTTGCAGTAGAGCCCTTGGCTGCCCAGGTACTCATCCATGGTCACCTCGCTGAAGGACTTCTTCCAGCCCTTCTGCATGGCCAAGGCGGGGGGGGGGGAGAGAGGCAGGCAGGTGAAGCTGCGGGGAGCACAACCCCAGGAAAAGGCGCCCAGGGGACCAAGCGGGGGTCCCCAAGCGGGCAGAGTGCAAGGAAGTGGGGGGCAAGCAGCGCGCAAAGGGTCGAGACGAGGGGCGAGCACTGCCGGTACTGAGGATGGATGCTTCCCAGTGCCAACTTTATGCTTGTTTAATATTGCTATTAAAGCATTGTTCTTCGTGCCTGACGGTGGTCTGTTTTGTTCCAAATACATTCCCAATCCAGGACGTCGTTAACACTCAGAAGGATGGAAGGCTGAGTCAACCATAAGCTTGTGAGAATCAAACTGCCGAACTGCTGGCAGCCAGCAGTCAGCAGAAGTAGCTTGCAGGACTGCATTCTAACCACTGCGCCACCGTACAATGGTAGTCATGTTACTTGGGTAATAGATAAAGTAAATCAGCCAGCGAAATATAAAATTATGCCTTCTGGCCAGAACTTAAAAACACTAATCTAATATCAGTGCAGTGCTAAATAGCAAATAAAAGCAAATAATAGCAAATTTAATATCAGTGCTAAATCAGCCTTTCCTTTCCTCCTCCATCTCCTCCTCCTCCTCCTCCTCCTCCTCCTCCTCCTCCTCCTCCTCCTCCTCCTCCTCCGCCTCCTCCTCCTCTTCTTCTTCTTCTTCTTCTTCTTCTTCTTCTTCTTCTTCTTCTTCTTCTTCTTCTTCTTCTTCTTCTTCTTCTTCTTCTTCTTCTTCTTCTTCTTCTTCTTCTTCTTCTTCTTCTTCTTCTTCTTCTTCTTCTTCCAAGATTAAAAACTGTGGAATCCACAATGCTAGAAGATGTTGATGGCTAATAGCATCTGTGAGCAATCCCTGTACTTTTGTCAAATACAATGACTAAACTGAATAATGTAAGCCTCAGTGACTATATAGAAGACAATCATTGTACTGGTTCCACACCGCTTGAAGAATATGTGCTTTATTATGAAAATATATTCTATCTTCACAAGGCAGTAAATTACACTATTTATGGAATCTTAATGATCTAAGCACAGTTGGAGCCTGAAGGTCAAGGCTGCAAACCACATCCTAAATTTCTGTTTACCAATGAAGCTTTGTATTTATTACAGCACTGTTTTTGCTGCTGTAGTTAAAGGTCTGCCAGCATTTCCATTATAAACCACTATTTCAGAGGTTTATAACTCACTCATAAATCTCTGTTCCAGAATGAACGCAATGCAAAACAAGGTCTCCAGTATGGGAGTATGGCTTTTTTCCCCCTTCTCTTTCTTTCTCATTTGCTATATGGAAATTCTTATTTTTAAAAATGTAGAAGCCAGTCTAAAATATTGAAGATGAACAATTGACTCTCACTGGATTCAATGGGATGTATATTTTTTTAAAAATAGGATTCCAGGACTGTTCAATATGTTTCCACCTTAAGAAGAGAAATAGAATAAAGTCTGTTGTTTAATGCATTGCTTCAACTTTTATGAATATCCACACATATTAATGTCAGGATATTATTGATCTTTTCCCCCAGAATTCTTAACAGAAGCTGCCAGATGCTTTTTGCTGTTGATATGGGGCTTCTAAAGCTCTAAGACAGTGGTTCTCAACCTGTGGGTCGGGACCCCATTTGGGGTCGAACGACCATTTCATGGGGGTCGCCAAACCACGTTGTCCGCCATTTTTTCCCTTTTCCCTAGCTGACCTACTCCCTCTTATTGGTGGCCACACCCACTTGGGGGTCACCACAACATGGGGAACTGTATTATGGGGTCACGGCATTAGAAAGGTCGAGAACCACTGCTCTAAGATATTGAGCATTAGAATAAGCCACAAATAAGCCATTTCTTTATTTTTGATAACCTGTTTACAAGAATCTCACCAGATTGACTGCATTCCCGTATAAACTGGCAGACAAGGTTTTTAAAAGTCCAGCCTATGTCACTTCCTCCCTCACAGCAGCTTTAACTGTTGTCTTTTGGTTGGTAATTCCACTACAATTGAACTTGTGAATAATAGTTGAAAATATTAGGTGATTGAATGGTTAAATGATGTAGATGGCTTTGCTGTGGTAAAGGAATGGATCATCCCTGAGCTCTACTATGAATAAATATATTTGGACATTGTAGCTACACCGTCCTGGAAAAGATGCAGCTGCTTTAAAAGGTTGAGGACACACACAAGCAACCTTTTGGTCTCTGAAACATTTCCCCCTCTTTAAATCTAATGCACTATCATCCTTTCTATCATATGAGCTGCCATTAATAATAAAAATGAATAAAATGTTAATAAATAAAAACAAAATAAAATAATAAACAATGACATATTGGATTTCTTAGATCATCTACAAAAATTGTAATGTCCTAGAAATGAAAAAAAAATGGTGGGAATGTTTGGTTGAAAACGTAGCTGCAAATGAGGTTAAAATAATACAAACTGATAAAGTCTTGTCTCATAATATAACTATGATTGAAAAGAATAAAATGTGGATAATAGATGTGTCAATAGAAAAGACAAGAAATTGAAGAAGATCACAAAGTAGCAAGACCTGAAAATTGAAACTGAAATATTATGGCATAAACCAGCTGTGGTGGCCCCAGCAGTTATCAACACACTGGGTGTCATACCAAAAAAATCTTGGACAGTCCTTAGAAAATCTGCCCTTTGACAAAATCTCCATCTGTCAATAGCAAAAGTCTACATAGCTTAGATTTGCACATATAGTTCACTGATACATTACAACATCCTAGTTTTGATGCTTAGGAAGGCCAATACCAGCTAAAGGACTGATAACTCTGATTTCACATTGTTGCGTATATAATAATAATAAAAATGTTTAATAGCTACAACCTAGTAGGCAGTTTGCTGTCCCCCACAAAAAAGACCAAAATAATCTTCCACTGATTTTCTTTGGTAGCAATACATCTCAATAAGGACGATGTTGCACTGAACTGTTACAAAATCACATGCAAATGAGGTTAAAATAATATGGATTTCTTTGTTATGGGTCGCATTTCATTCAGTAGTATCTTGTTGACTGATACACCAGATGCATAGCGAGACAGCTGTAGGAAGGAAAGGAAAATGACCATACAGTAGTAGTTGACATAAGGATGTGAAGTTCTGCTTTTACCTGTAAAAACCAGGTGGAACACTTGAAACTAAGAAGTTTTTCTCAAGACTCTGCAGTATGTCATTCAACATCCTGATACGGGCAGGAGCTCTTTCTTTTGGGTCGTTGGCTGGCCGCATCTCATCTGATTGAAACAATTCTGCGCTCTCCCGCAAAGCATAGGCCACCTTCAGCAAATTGCCAACATTATGAGGGTCGTCTGTTAAGAAAGGAATATGATGAAAAAACAGCTTTAGCTTTATTGACCTATTAGGTTACTGATTCATTTCATTATGATCATTTTATACAACTCAGCAGGGGCTGACTGTTAGTCTGGGAGGTTATCTAAGTTTCCAGTAGTACACAAAGAAGTTGTCAGTTGTACACAGTTGGCATTTGGAGCATATATTGCTTAAAACATAAATTGTGTCTGCGATACCGATTCCAAATTCGTCTAAGCCTATTATCATGTTTCTCAACCTTGATAGGTGGAAGAGGTAAGGAATTCAACTCCCAGAATTCCCCAACCAGCATGCTGATCTAGGCATTCTTTGGAGGACTCCCATGTGAATATTAAAGGGAGGTGCCAATCTCTCTCTTGACTGAAGCATGCGCCATGGCTCCAGTAGCTATAGCTGAGTTTACTGAAAGTCTCTTTTAAATCATGTTATAATAATCTGCTTGGAAAATAACAACACATTGAAATAAGGTTTGATCTGTAGCTATTTGGAAAGAGTAGTGCAGCTTAAATATATCCACACACTTATACATGTCTGTGAGAGAACATCTCTCTCTCTCTCCCTCCCTCCCTCCCTCCCTCCCTCCCTCCCTCCCTCCCTCTCTCTCTCTCTCTCTCTCTCTCTCTCTCTGTTTACTGGAATATAAATTAAATTATCATGAGTTGGGGAAATGTCAATCTGTTTATTTTTATTTTTTTTTAAACTCTGCAACCTAAAATGTGTAATAATATTTTTTGTGTATGCACTGTGTTATGTACAATTTTGTGAACACTAAATTTGAATATATTTTGTGCTCAATTTCCCTGATTTTTGCCTTTTTATATGTGGTTCTCCTAAATCAAAATATTTTGTATGACTTTTTCTATCTGTTTTTCAGATATAACCATTCTTCTAATATTGTTTCTATCCATTTCTCATGAACATAATGTTAGATGTTGGAGAAAAGGAAAGAAAGAAATAATATATACGTAATGAACAAAAGTCTCTTGTATGGAGCTTCGTTCTTATTATATACATTTATAATTTTGGGCTTTCATTCATCTTCCATATTATAAAACCATTACCAATCAATCAGGATACAGTTGTCCAATCTTGGATAAAGTGATCTAGATAGATGTAAAAGGATTGATTTTTTTCCTCCAAATTTAGAAGCAATTCTGCTATTCACCCCCCCCCTTTTTTTTTTTTTTTTTCTATCTACTCTATTGCCACAATAGGAATCCTGTGAGATTGGCTGGACTGAGAAAGAGAGCAACTGAATCAAAATCATGCAGTGAAATTCCACATTCAAGGTTGGATTAGAATTCAGGTCTCCTGAGACTATTTCAGACCTTCACTACTGAATCCCAATATTTTCTGATTTTCTTTGAGGAATTGGAGGTTAAATAATATGGCTCCATCTAATTGGGGGGTTTTGGGAATCACAGAAGGGATGTTGGACCTCAGCCTAGACTTTTTGCACTGCTGACTTAGAAGACAACTCCACTGATTTGGGACCTGATTTTAATTGGACTTGCTTTCGACATGCAAGGACTTAAAGACAGACATTTGTGGAACATACTTTAACGTTGAGTGAAAAATCAATCTCTTTTCTTTAAAATTTTTTATCAAAGTTGAAGTATTTTGGCATTTCCCCAAGCAGATAGACATTGAATTGGTAGATATTAATATATTAAGTAATAAGCTGTTTATGCTAAGTTCCCACTTCAAGCTAAAGCAGAAGAACAAATTAATCAGTATCCCCAATATGATCTTGAGCATGTATCCATGAGAAGAACATTAAGAACTGCTTTGAAGTCTTGAACCTCATTGATAGGGAAACAAAACAGCTATGGAATGAAATCATATAAGTCCTTGATGAATATGAAAGGAGTCAAAAACTAAGAAACAGTAAACTGAAACTGCTGTCAGCACAGATGGTGGAAATTACCAAAAAGAGAAGAGAAACTAAAGCAAAGGCCTCAGGGGAAAAAAATACAATAAAGCATTTCTAAGATGTGTTATAAGAGAAAAGAAGCAATATTGCAACATCTGTAAAGACATTGACAATGGAAGGGAAGTCTTTGAAAAAATATCTTCAAACTTAGAAGGATGCTCCAATCATGAATTGGATGCTAATAGATAGGTAATGACCTCATAGAGAGTGCAAACTATTGTATGATATAATTAATCCACATATTAACTATGCATCATGCAAGACAGATTACAGTAGGTTAGAATTCCTGGAACTTGAGATGCCAGTTGTTTAAGTTGGTTTTAAAAGTTGGAAAGGGTCAAGGAACAATATACATTATTGCTGGTACATGATAGATAATTGAGAAAACCAGAGAATACAAAAATGAAGTCAATATTATGCTGCATTGATTACAGAAAGGTCTTGATTTTGTTGAACATATAAAGGTGCACAAAAAGCTCAGAAAAAAATAGAATCCCAGAGCAGTTTGCCTTAATGAAAAATCTATGCACTGTGTAGAAAACCATTGTTCAGAGGGAATACATTGAAACAGACTAGCTCTTGGTTGGCATAGTAGTAAGCTAAAGCTATATTTATTATTATTATTATTAATGAATCATCGCACAGTCAGCCAGATGTTCAGACTGGATTTGGCATTTTGTCTACCTATCGAGTCCGTACCCAGGACCTGGGATAGGCAGATGTGGATGTTTGATGGTATTACAGATATCGTCGCAGGATGGAAGCAGTTCCTAGTAAGGCCGCCTTTTGCAATTGCCTAATAGCAAATTTGTCAATGCCAATGGTGTTCAAGTGGTGCTCCAGTTGTTTTGGGATTGCACCCAAGGAGCCTATTACTATTGGTACTACCCTTGCTTGCTTTTGCCACAGTCTTTCTATTTCTATTTGTAGGTCTTTGTATTTGTTATCTTCTCCAGTTCTTTCTCGTCTATTCTGCTGTCTCCAGGCACCGCCACGTCCACTATCCAGACTTTTTTGTCTTTCTTATCGACAATTGTTAAGTCTGGGGTGTTATGTTGCAGGTGCTTGTCTGTTTGAATTCTGAAGTCCCAGAGCAGTTTAATTTTATCATTTTCTATGACTGTCTCTATTTTATGATCCCACAAGTTTTTGCTTACAGGCAAATGATATTTTTTGCAGATCTTCCAATGCACCATTGTTGCTACTTTGTCATGCCGCTGCTTGTAGTCAGTCTGTGCAATATTCTTGCAACAGCTTACCAGGTGGTCCACTGTTTCTTCAGCTTCTTTGCATAGGCGGCACTTACTGTCTGTTGCTGTCTTCTCAATTTTGACTTTATATGCATTTGTCCTTAAGGCTTGGTCTTGTGCAGCCAGAATTAGTCCCTCGGTCTCTTTCTTCAATTTTCCTGCTCTTAGCCATTGCCAGATCTTGTTATTATCTGCTTTCCCAGCTATTTTTTAAATATATTGGCCATGTAGTGCTTTGTCTTCCCATGCCTCTATTCTGTTCTTTATTTGGTCTTTCTTGTAGGCCAGTTTGGTCTCTCCAGTAGTCAGTAAGCCTTCCTGATATACTAATTTCAGTGCATCTTCATCATTGTTCTTCAGATATTCTTCCAAAGCCATTTTTTCTTCTTCAACCATCTGATGTACTTGTAGCATTCCACGCCCACCTATTTGCCTAGGTAGATAAAGTCTATCAATGTCACTGCGTGGATGAAGGGCATGATTCATTGTCATTATTTTTCTGGTCTGCCTATCCATTGCTTTTAGTTCTGCTTGAGTCCAGTCCACTATTCCAGCTGTGTATCTAATGACTGGATTTGCCCAAGTGTTGATTGCCTTTATGGTATTTCCTCCATTGAGTTTGGACTTTAAGATCTTCTTCACTCTCTTGATGTATTCACCTCTAATCTTTTTCTTGACTTCAGTGTGCTTGATGTTGTCAGCTTGACGGATACCCAAGTATTTGTAGTATTCTTCCTCGTCCAGACTCTTAATGTTATTTTCGTGGGGCATCTTGATTCCTTCAGTTTTCACTATTTTTCCTTGTTTGATAGTAAGTGTGGCACATTTGTCCAAGCCAAACTCCATTACAATATCTTGGCTATATATACGGACAGTGTTGAGCAGAGATTCTATTTCAGATGATGTTTTTCCATACAGCTTCAGATCATCCATGTAAAGGAGATGGGATAGTCTGGTAGATGTTTTTGATGGTTGATAGCCATGTCCTGAGTTATTCAGTATTGTTGACAGAGGAAACAGTGCAATAACAAATAGTAATGGTGACAATGAATCTCCTTGAAATATTCCTCTTTTGATATTAACCTCTCCCAATCTCTCACCATTGATCTGCAACTGTGTCTTCCATTGTGCCATCGATCTTTGCACAAATTTTGTGATGTTTCTACTGACTCCTGTTATTTCTAGGCACTTGATTATCCAGTCATGTGGCAGAGAGACAAATGCCTTTTTGTAGTCAATCCATGCCACATTCAGGTTGGTCTTCCTTTTCTTGCATTATTATTATTATTATTATTATTATTATTATTATTATTATTATTATTGTTGTTGTTGTTGTTGTTGTTGTTGTTGTTGTTGTTATTAAATTTACATATCCCTCATCTCACTGTTTCTAGTAACCCTAGACCCCCAACTGTACATCCTTTCTACCTATTTATACAAACTATAAAATCCAGATTTTTTTTTCTAACAAAGAGTTAAAGAATTAAGATGGGAGACTAATATGGCCATTTCGAGCTCTTTTTGCTCTCCTCAGTTAGCCATACCCTTTATGGGGTTCGAACATGGGGAGTTTACATGTTAGGCAGTTGTTTAACCATCCAGCCACAGGCTCTCCTCCCCTCCTTGTCAACTATAAAATATATGTTAAAAGACGCTAGACTCCAAGATGCATGGATTTAAAACTGGAGGAAGAAATTTAATAACATGTATGATGATACCATTGTATCTGGAAATGCAACTTATCTGAAAGCTCTAATAAGGAAGTTAATGAGCACAATAAAAATGGGACCAAAAT